ATTGTTTATTTTATCAATTTGACAATCAATTGTCATATTGATAAATCTTATTATATTCACCCAACAATATGCATTTATCATTTGTAATATACATTTTTTTAAATCAATAATTATTTTGTCATTCCAACAACGAAATGTACTTGAATGATAAAATCGTGTTGTCAAATATATTTATAAGTTAACAAATTAGTTTTTTCATTTCAACAAAAACTTTATTAGCTTTATGAGTTATTATACTTATTAAAGATCTACATTTGTCTGTGTTCGCTATACATACCTATTATGAGAATTGTATTTATATAATACTCTACATTGATATTTGAATATATTTTTTACGTATTCTTATTACATGGTTTATAGTATTTTTTTATCTATATACAATTTAACATTCAGTGATTAATATATATATAATATATGTGTTTCTGTGTTGGATGCTGGTTAAAATAGGTAATGATATCTACCTAAGATTTGGTGTGATACATTTAAATAAGAACGTTTATAATTCATATTATGTAATCGGGCTATAGTCAATTTGTAGTTTATAATGAATTATAAAAGGAGGTAAGTTTGTATTAATTTTTTTATTACGTATATAAATATTAATTGAAAATAAATGCACTTATGCGGTTTTGCTCGTATATTTTTCGCAGAAGTTACGTGCTCCTATAAGTGAGCGCTTAATGTTTTCTTAAAATTAGGCCTAGTACGGAATTCGCCAAGATGCTTGCGGGGACTGGAGATAAAAGATAATTGGGATATATATAATATATTAATATCTTCTCTGAAAATCATGAGCAAGGGAAAATCACAATTATCGTTGGCTCTCATTGGGTCTATACTAAATTTCTACCAAAACGAACAAGCAAATGAAAAATACGACGAGAACATTCGATAAAAATTATTCTGTAACGCATTCCACTTTTGGAGTTCAAGACGTTCAAGTGTTCAACTGTCGACTTAGCGTCTTAACACAGTGTTCGAGATATTCAGATATAATATACTGTTATAAGTTATAAATAAACACCATTTTGACGATCGTTTGTCATAATATTGTGTAATAATAATATTTATTACCTATATCGTCTTACTTGCAAGTAAAATAAGGTAAGTTATGATTTTTTACATTAAGTACCTACTTAGCATATAAGCAGTTGTGACAAAGTTAAGATTTTGTTCTAGTGGAGGGGGAGTTTGTATAAACGTCAGATGGAGCTTTTCCATCCCCTTCCCACCACCTAGAAGTACCATAAACCTATTTTATTTTAAATACACTTAACACATATTATTACTGCAGTAAAATAATGTATAATAATATGGTACATTGTAAACACATTATTTAACTACACATGTTTTTAATCTATAATTCATATGAAACCCAAACACCCACTCATATACATCACTATTTCTCAAAAACGACGAAACAGTATAATATCTGTATGAGAAACTTTGTTCTAAATGTTCAGCCCTTAGCTATCCAAATTGAACATTTTATACATTTTTAACTATACAAAATAATTTGCAAATTTTCGAAGTTTAAACTTTAAATCGTGTATTAGTAAAAACTATATAGATATTAGATACATACACAAAAAAATTAAATATAATTATAACAACATTCATCGCTTTGTTTAGAATAGGTATATAACCCTTGGCACTGGAGGGGGATCTTTCAACCACAACTACATAACTCGTCACTGCATATTATATAAGTATACCTACTTATAAGCATTTTAAGATTTATTTATATATAGATAACAATTACTCTTGAATAATAAAAAGAAATTATAGGTGGGTGATTATAAAAACGACATAAAAGTTTAAAAATAGATAACAAAAACAATAATTATTTTAACAGCAATATTATTATATAGGTAGTTTAACCAGATTCAACCTATGTAAATATTTTTTTAACAATAGGTATCTATAAATACCTTTCAAAAATATAAATAAAAATATAAAATTAAAACAATTTTTATTAAATATTAACATAGGTATTAATAGGTACATTAATATTATTAGAAACTTTTAATTCCACTTAATGCAGTCATTTTATGTTTTTATTATTAATATTAAATTAATGAATTCAAATTAAATTATTTATTCCAAATATTTTTAAAACATTTAGGTATCTACATATACATATCAACCTATTACTTAATTAATTTAGAGTATAATACATACACACAAAACACACTTGCTTATAATAGGTAGGTATACTTTAATACTTAATAAATATTATAACTATATTTTTAAAATCTGAATAATATATTTTATATAGGTTTAATTCCAATGCTGCAAGTAGGTACTGGTTGATTCCTCTTTTTTTTCTGTTAACTACCTACCTATTCTCATTATGATTTGTTTTGTTTGTAAATCTACATTTTCTAACTTAAAAACCCTGGTGGTCCATTTTAAAATATTTCACTCACTCAAGTCATACAGTACATATGAATGTGCTGAAGAATCCTGTCATCAGGCTTTCCAATGTTTAAATAGTTTTAAAAGGCACATTTCAACTAAACATATTCGCCACAGCCCCTACTTAGATAATAATATTGATAATATAAATTCAAATGTCAATAGTGACAAAAATGTCACAGAAGTATACATTGATACGCCCATATTAGATAATCAACCCGATTGCTCAAAAAAAATACCTCAATGTTTTGATATAGATTCTGCTATTAATTCCTTATATAAATCAGCTATTACATTTATCATGAGTCTGCATAATAATAATAATTTTTCATTTAAAGATGTTTTAAAGATACAAAATGGTATTATTGAATATTTAACTAAACCAATGGCATTAATGCTGACAAAATTAAATAATTCCCAAGTAGAAGTAGTAGAACATTCAACTATAAAGATACAACTTAATAAACTCTCCACAGTTTTTTCAAATCCTTTTCAACCTTGTAGTACTGAGTACCGTTTAGGAAAATGGCTTGTTCAAAATCAATATGTTACCGACTTACAACAATTTACTATTAACAATGAAATTTGTAATGTTCAGCTATTGGGTGAAACGATATATGATGAAAAAGTAACTAAAGGAGCTCTGTTACCTTTGAATGAACAATTTAAAAAATATTTAGAACATGGTGATAATTTAAATACTTTTATTAATAACCTTACAATATTAAAAAATGATGATTCAAGTATTTCTCATTTTGTGCAAGGGAATCTTTGGAAACAGAAAACATCACATTATGTAGGAAAATTAGTTTTTCCTTTTTTTTTGTACATGGATGATGTAGAAATAAATAATCCGTTAGGATCCCATTCAATGTCCCAATCAATCTCTGCCATTTACTACAGTTTTCCTCTAGCAGAAAACAGTTCCCAACTGTCAAATATTTTTTTAGCTGCTTTAATAAAAACAATTGATTACAAAAAATTTGGGAATGAGCCATGTTTAATACATTTAATTCGTGAAATTAATATCCTTGAGAAAGAAGGTTTGATAGTTACAACACAAGATGGAGAATTCCATGTACATTTTATTCTAGGACTAATATTGGGAGACAATTTAGGATTGAACACTATGCTTGATTTTAGCAAATCCTTCTCAGCCAATTACTACTGTCGTTTTTGCAAAGCTAGTAAGTCTGAAGCTTTAGAGCTATTTGTTGAGAATAGAGAAATAATGCGTACAATAAATAATTATTCAGAGGATGTAAATACTAATAATTTTATAAGTACTGGGATTTATGGAGAGTCTGTTTTAAATCAAATTTACAGTTTTCATGTTGTGACTAATTACTGTGTGGATATTATGCATGACATGTTTGAAGGGATATGCCATTACGATATGTGTCATGTAATTTTGTATTATACGCAAACTGCAAAATTATTTTCCCTAGAAAAATTAAATAATCGTAAGACCACTTTTAACTATGGTACAATAGAAGTTGGTAATATTTCACCCCCAATTACATTATTACATTTACAAAAACATCATTTAAAAATGTCTGCTCGAGAGGTAATGACATTTGTACATTTTTTTCCTCTCATGATAGGGGACCTAATTCCTGAAAATGATGATGTATGGAATTTTGTAATTATTTTATTAAAAATTGTTGAGTTGTTAATGTCTTACAAATTTACAGATAACTCAATAAAATATTTGGAACAATTAATTAAAGACCATAATTCTTTATACAGCCTACTTTTTAATGATACTCTTAAGCCCAAACATCATTTTTTGATACACTATCCTAATATAATCCGTGAATCAGGACCACCTCGACATTTCTGGTGTTTTCGTTTTGAAGGTAAACATAAGGAAATAAAAACATATGCACGTTCAATAACATCGAGAAAAAATATAACACTTACACTAGCCAAAAAATTTCAAATTAAATTTTCTATTTACTAATGCAGCCGAAAAAACATAATTTGGTGTTGAATCCTAAACACATAATTAAAGACAGTCAATATAGTAAATTAATAAACGATACATATAAAATAACATCTAAGCAGTATGAATGTTATAATAAAATCGAATACATGGGTACTAATTATAAAGAAGGATATTATTTAACCAGATTTATTTTTGAAATGTGTCTATTTGAAATAATTGAAATAATAGTAATTAATAATATTAAAATAATTATCTTAACAAAACAAATTAAATTAAATGGTTTTCATTCTCATTTTGAAGCTTATGAAGTGGATTTTGATGAACATATAGTTTTAAATCCAGTTTTTAATGAAATAAATTACTTTAATGGACCACCAATAAATGTAATTAATACTTCAACAGGCAAAAAAATGTTTAGAACAAAAGAGTATTTTATGTAATATACATACTATACATACTGCATTACTGCCTATTGGGTATTACATTTCAACAATTTGTTTTATTTTTTCATTTTTATTAATTTTTTTAATATGCTTATAATTTAATAAATAGTTTTTAAGATTTGTAATTATATATACACATCATAATATAGTAATATAGGTAATAATTAAAATAAACTGTAATTTAAAAAAGAATGAATAATCAAAACATTTTTGAAAATCTGGATGACTCATATACTGAATTAATCAAAAACAGTTCGGATGAAGAATTTACTGAAAAAAATAACACTGATTTAAATCAAGTCCGTATTATCATATAAAATATTAAAAACTTAATTAGTAACTAATACATTTTTAATATAGGATCCATCTGCTGAGTATATAGATATTCCAACAGTGGTTGGTTATAACTACCCAGTGGAAACCATACAAGAGTTAAATGATTTATTAAGTCAATGGGGATTAAATTGTTTATACGAAACATGCTTAAGTAATTTTAACATTATTCATAAATAGTTCTAAAATGTTTAATTTGTATATTTTATTTTACATATATCTAGCTGAACTAGTGGACATAGTTACTTTGTCAAAGATAAATTTATCTGAAATTTCTACGTTGACCAAAAAATTTCCTATGGGCATTCAGATAAATTTTAGGCACAATGTTGAAATTTGGCAAAAAAGTTATGCGCAACTAAATGAAACAAATAAGAACATAAGGTCTCCCATTCTTCCATCTCCTTCATGTTCGCCTGCGTTGGAAATTTCATCATCGGTCAATAACCAAAATATAGTCCAACCTCAAAGCATACCTTCAAAAATTGTAAATTTTGAACTATGTAACATATTGAACTCTACTCAAGGTGCTTTGATAGTTGCTTATTACAAAAGTCACAATTGTTTGAATGATCATATAAGAACTTTATTAGTTGAAATAATAATCCAAGAATTAATAACAAAAAAAATATTAATGTCCGTCGCATTGGCAGAAAATATTGCAAACCAAATTCAACAACTTTTTGCATCTGAATTGAAGGTTTGATAATTATATGAAAGCACAATAATGCATATTTTATAATCAATAATTTAATTAATAATATTTTTTTTATAGGAAAATTATTTCATAAAAGATCATTCAAGACAGCCAAGAGGAAAGTTATACTGTAAATATTACAATACTATGAGAACACTAAAAACAAGCGGGTTAATCTTAAAACATTCAGAAAAAAATGAATTAATTAATAAAACTAAAAATAGTAGTTTTAGTAGATGGACTACTAATAACTATGGTAAATATATTTAAAAAAATAATATATATTATAATGAATAATATATTATTTTAATAATTTATGATAGAACCTGAAGGAGATATACAGTTAATCTTAAACCAAATTAAGCATGATAACTGTAGTCTTCCAGAACTTGAGCGGCATTGGAGTTCAACTGTAAATCACAGGTTAAATGACATTCAAAAGGCCACAACAACTCAGGAAATAATAAGAGAATGGAAGAGCTATAAAATACCAATGGGCTATAAATTAGTATGTAAAATTTGTATTTTAATTTAAATTTATATCAACCATGAGTTAGTTTTAACTAGGTATTAAACAATCGGATGCTTATCACATTACATGCGAATATTAAGTTTTGTTAACCATGGTTAATATTACAAGTAAATAATATTGTGAAACATAAGTAAATCATTATAGAGCAATATAAGTTGGTAATAACTAAGAAGTTAATTTTACTATTTATAATATATAATATGGATGGATTAGGTTAATAAAATATTTTGTTAGTTGTTTTAGAGTAACATGCATATCTACACAAATTTGAATAGTTTGATATACCATGTATAATTATTATTATACATATCATTTTACAATAATAATTTATAAACCTTGATTTACATGCTATTGTAGGCTATAGGTACCCTCATAATTACTACCTACACTTTTAGTTGATAACTGTAATATAAAATATACCTAGGTATGTTGAGGCTTAACAACAAACATGTTACATAGATACAATAATAACATAAACCAAATAGATTGCTCGTGCTTGTTGGACATTCTAAAGATTCAATAAAAGCTACAAAAGTAACAAAACCATGTATTAAAAATTCAAATACATAGTTTTTGTATTAAATCTTGTTTTACTGCAGAAATCATACATGCTCATAATAACAATAAGCTGTTTTTATGCACTTATTATAATTTATAACTACATTTTGAATATTTTAAAAGATCTCTGACTCAATTTTTATGAATTTTGTCTGAGCTTTATATACATACCATTACCTACTCTTTACTTATATAGGTAAATAGGTATAGCCTATTTGTATATAAAGTTACTGAGTATACCATATAAAGCCAGACAGGGTATACTATTTTATCTGTACGATTAAAACTATAATACAACTTGATAAAACAAATAAAAATGAAAGTAATATATGGGGTGATTCTCCTTCAAGCATGCCCACATAGAATTTTTTTTCATTTAATAATTAATTTATTGAAATTCTGATTTTTGGAATTTTTAAATATACTAGGACCATATTCTTGAATTTGTTTTTGTACCATTTGTGAGCATGGTTAGTGAATTGCCACTATACATAAAATTTATTGCATTATGAGTGCATATTGCATAAAAAAAGTACTTTTTTAATACATACAAATCTTAATATGCATATGACAACCAAACACATGTCATATTATTAATAAATCTATGTGAGGACTATTCTTGCCTTGCATCTGATACCTATATTTATGTAGCTATGTAAAATATTTATTATCTAACTCCCAATTTACTTTTCAGATTGATATTGATTTTAATGTTCTTCACCCAACTTCTTTCAATGTACTAGGCAATTATGAAGTAAAATTATTAAAAATATTTAATGTTTTAACAACAAAAATTAAAGATATGAACTCCCGTAAACTATTAGAGAGTCTTATTGAGATGGAAAACCCATGTGAAAGTAATTCATAATAATTATTAATTTAAAATTATATCTATAAATATCCTTATAAGGTTATTTCTTGTAATTTTGTATAATATTAGTTGGTAGGTACCTAACTAATCACATTGTGTATTTTCAGATGCTAAACAAGCGGTTACATTTTATTTACTCCATTCGTTATTTGTGCCAACTTCCAAAAAAGTAACTATGGATGATAAAGGAAAGAAAAATATTGTCAAATTTTCTATTAAAGATTCACAAAATACTTTTTTGGTATTTTGTAATACTGTAACCCTGGCTGAAGAATTCATAGCAAACCGATATAGTCTGAAATTGCCAATTCAGCCCTTTATTTTGGTTGTTGGTACTCCACTTCAACCGAAAGAGATTATTGTATATTTTGATACAATTAAATATAAAGTTTTCACTATACTACGGGCAATAGATGTGTGCTTTAAGATTATACATTTATTTAATTTAGAGTACCCAATTGAATCATGTGCTGTATGGCAATTTATACAAAAATATTTGTATAATATTAAAACTAAATTTGATAAATCACACCCCAATTTAAATCAATTAATTTTTGATTTAGAAAATAATACACATGCAGAATAGATAAATATATTACGTAGATATTCTATTATTATATTTAAATAATATATTTGGTACCTATATACATTTGTATACCTAGCTAGGTACCTATATTATATTTCTATGTATATATTTTTTTTTATATTTATTATATTGCATATTTTATATACCTACACTTCATTATGTTATTATATATTTTTATACCTAAATTTTTTTACCTATATAATTTATATTTCTTTATAGGTATTTTATTATTATATCTAAATAATATATTTGGTACCTACCTATATACATTTCACATTTGTATACCTAGCTATATATTTCTATATTTCTATATATAGGTATATATTTTTTTTTATATTTATTATATTGCATATTTTATATACACTTCAGTATGTTATTATATATTTGGAACCTAAATACATTTGTATACCTAGCTATATATTTCTATATATATTTTTTTTTATATTTATTATATTGCATATTTTATATACACTTCAGTATGTTATTATATATTTTTATACCTACATTGTTTTACCTATATAATTTATATTTCTTTATGTTTAATAAGATTTCAAAACATATACTAAATAAAAAAAAAATTATTAAATATTTAAATGAACTATAGTTTTTTTTCATTACCTATATTTAAGTAATAAATTATTTGAAATTTGCATACCACTTTTTGATGTAGCAATAATAATTTCAGCTATTATATGATCAGAAAATTTTATTGAAATGATAAACCTATTTGTTGGATATGAACAGATTATATTTTTATCAGTAACAAATATATTTGATTGAAATGATAAAATTATTAATCTTGACAATAAATTTTTTATGATTTGATTATCAAATAATGTTTCCTATTAATAAAATATTTTATTGTATTAATAAAATATTTTATTGTATTGATCAGATATTTTGTTAAAATAGTGTTAGCCATGACAATTTTATGTGATCAAATTAATAATGTAAATTTAATCAAAACGATAAAATTTTTGTCATTTTTCAAGATGATCATGAATTGACAATTGAATGTTGTTAGTTGGACAAATCTGTTTGTTAGCTGAATAGTGACAAATATTTTGTTGATCAAATCTATATTTTTATCAATGTTACCAAGGTTTTTTTTTCAGTGTAGTGTATTAATAACTGAGATATTATGAACTAAAACACAATAGTCAACTATTGTGAAAAAGTTTACTTACTTGGATTTGTACTCGTAAAAAATATTCTTAAATAATATATTATATAATTAAATTCACTAACATTACCTACTAACAATCATATTATTTTGTCATAACAGTTTAACACACACAATTAACTTGTAAATATGTTAAAATAAAATCTAAATCGTTTTAACACTTTTTTGCTAGCACTATATATCGTGTTTGAAAAAAAAGTTTCAATAAACATTGCACACATCAAAATGTAGTAATTGGATTTGAAATAAAGTTGATGATAAATTTTACATTCTAGTATTTTGAAAACATAAAAGAACATTCCACAACTTCCAAATCTTAACGTACATGTCCCAAGCCCCACCCATCTAAAACTTCACAATTTTTTTTATTCGGATGATTAGTACCTGCGTCATTCCTATGAATTCCTATGACTAGTTTGGGAATTCCTACCAAAAAATTCCGGCCTCCAGAAACAATTTTCTATGCATTGGGCTGGGGACACGTTTCTCCAGCCCCACTCATGACTAATTATAAGTGTTCAGCAATTTTTTTTTATATACTAACTATTAAGTCAAAATCTCAAATTTATTCCATTTCGGGGTACCTGTTTAAAGATTTGAATTTTATTATTTTTCCTTGTGGAGAATTTCTTGGATACATACAGGGGTGGATTGGTGAATTTGTTCGGCCTGGGAAATATGGATCAACCGGCCCTGAACCGCAAATGTAACCCCCCCCCCCCCCCCACAAAAAATGGTCATAATTTTCTCAATTTTTTTAAAATCTTTTTATATAGGTAAATTCTAAATACATTTTATTGTTTTTCTGACTGTTTATAATATATTACTTTGTATTGAACAGTAAGTATAAAAATTGACAGTTTTTCAATTTTTTGTTTCTTAATTAGATAATTAAATTAATAATGATTACATTTTATGTACATAAATAAATATATTTTAATTAAAATGACTTGTTATTAAGTACATGTACCTTAATAACTAAGTTCTCTAAGAAATAATTTACTCTTGTTCTTCAATAGTTCAATTACTTGGTCAGAATCTAAATTATTTAAAATATCTTTATTCGAAGCCATAATCATAAAAGCTTCTAATTTATCTTCGTTCATAGTATTTCTCAAGCGAGTTTTAATTACTTTTAAAATTGAAAACGAGGGTTCACAAGCCACCTAGTTTATAAATAAATATTAAAGCAAATAAATACAGTGCAATGTATAGTAAATATATACAATTTAAGCTAAAGCAATACAAATATTATTTAAAACATTACCTGGGTTGAAGGAAACGTAATCAGATACTTATACCCTAGTATTAGTTGATGATATGCATCACTGTAAAGCTTATATTTCATCAATACATTAAAGCAGAAAACAGCACAATTTTTGCACAATTTTATTTCATTACAAGAATTTTTGAAAATATTCACATCATCGTTTTGGTTTTCATCATCATCAGAACTTTCAGAATTATCATTATCAATGTACGATTCAGGTAACGATATTTTTAACTTATTCCAACTGGAGGCAAAATGAAATAACTCTGACTGTAAGCTATCCAATGTAATATCTTTATTAAATGTTTTAAGTTTTATGGCAAGCGCACTTAAAGAATTTGGTGGCGGCCCATTTTTAAAGTCTTCAAAATGAATTGGCGACAAATATGCTAAGTCTTTGTATATTTGATTATTTTGTATGAATCAGTTTTCCATACTTTCTACTACTTTATCCATGACATTATTATATATTTATACGGTAAACTAGCTCTCCGAGCGTCGCTGGGGGATACCCCCAGACCACCGGGTGTCGGTCATGAGTGTTTTCGATTTCGGAAGCTGCAGTAGTCTGTTGGTCTGGTCGTCAGTCTCGAGCTGGTCGGTGTATGATAAGGAACTCTGATAAGGTTAGGTCCACAGTGGTTAGACGTGGTAGCCCCCCCCGGTAAGCAACAACGTTCGACGACAACGTTCTTTACTGCCGCCGGAAATTCAAAATTCCGTAAAAAAATTATAAATCGTCGTTGTATTTTTGTGGGTGTCTAGCAGGTCAGTCACCTCGAATGACGTTCGCCGTAGTAATAGTATTTGGGGTCTAGCGGGTCAGTCACCTTCCTCGACTTTGGTCGTAGTCACCCTGGAAGGCAATCCGACAATACTCGACGGCTGGGGAACGTCATCACGTATGCAATCCGACTGCGTCGAATCGCGGACAACGTTCATTACTGTTACCGAAAAAGCAAAAAAAGTAATAAATTACTTGAAAAGTATTTAAACAATTTCGGACGTCCATGCAAATCATATAGCCGCCGTATTTTTTAGGGTGTCTAGCAGGTCAGTCACCTCGAATGACATTCGCTATAATAATAGGAGTAGGCAATCCGACTTGGACGGATAGCGGACAATGTGCGACGGCTGGGTCGAATCGCGGACGACGTTCATTACTGTTACCGAAAACGTAAAATTAAAGAATAAATTACGTGAAGAAAATTCAAAATATTTCGGTTGTCCATTCAAATCATATAGCCACCGTCTGATTTTTTGGTGTCTAACAGGTCAGTCATCTATGTTATCTGGGATAGGCAATGTGCGGCCAGGACAGCGTCCATTGCAGTCACCGACAATGCAAAATTAAGTAATGAAATACGTGAAAAAAATTGAAAACAATTCAACAATCATTTCGAAAACATTTCGCAAGCAATCCGACTACCGAGTCACCTTCCTCGACGTAATTACGCGAAAATATGTTTTGGGATCTAGCAGGATCTAGGGTCTAGCGTCGGATAGCGGACAACGTGTGACTTCTGACGCAAAATTAAGTAATAGGTCACGTGCAAAAAAATTGGTATATGTTTTGGTGTCTAGCAGGTCAGTCACCTTCCTCGACGTTGGACGTAGCAACCCTGGTAGGCAATCTGACTTCGTCGGATAGTGCGACGTCCGGGTCAAGGCATGAAAAGTGAAAACGCCAAATGACGTAAATCAAATGTTTATAAATAATAACATTTCGGGCGCTCGTGCTACTGTGCTAGTCCTAATATATATTTTTTGAGTGTCTATAGCAAGTCGGGCGGCCACGTTTAATAGTTTTTGTCGTTTATAGTAGGTAGTAGAGCGATTTAGAAGCGAAACTCGATAAGCTGATTGGGATTTTGTTTCCCCATGATCCTCCGAAAAACACGGAAACGTTTCCGTTAATCATATTTATATGACGAAAAAAAAAATCGAACTTTTCATCGCATATTTTCATTTCCGTACATAGTAATAACGACACTGTCCGCTCTCCGATCTCCTCCGCGGCACTCGACGTAGTCTGACTTATACATTTGGTGGAATTCTCAGTCTTCTTCTACGTGGTCATACGGAGAAAATTCATCTACTTCTCGCGAAAGTTCAGTTTCTGAAAATGTTGAGGACCAAGATGGGCAAGATGGTATTGTTCATTATATCAATACTTATAAAGAATAATGTTTTAAAATTACATTATAGCAAGTTATTATTTCTAGTTATCTAATATTATTTTTTACTTTATTTCTAAAATTAAGTATTGACTTATACAGAATAGTTTTTTTTAATTTACTTTAGAAGTTTAATAAATATGATTTACCATATTAATATAACATAAAATCATTAACTAAAGGATCTTGTTTTTATTTGGTGTTCTTAACTTTGTTGTTAAAATAAAATGTACAACATTTCAATGCTTAGGCCTTATTGTATAATAATAATATAATTATTCTTTATTATTATTTTATTGTTCAAAAACTTACCTTAAAAAGACTGCCAGTTTTTCTTCGGGATCAATCGGCTTTTGAGCATTACATCCAA